CCTACTGTGTGCTCATGCAGGCAGTGACATCTCCTACTGTGTGCTCATGCAGGCAGTGCGATCCCCTACTGTGTGCTCATGCAGGCAGTGAGGATATTTAGACTCTGTTGCGTGTAAGTTCATTAGCCTAAAGTTAAAATCTGTCTTGGCTCCTGTTTTTCTGTTTTTCCCCACAGTGTGTGTCCTGGTGTTGTTTTCTTAAGCGTCTCCTTTAGCTGGAACTGTAAGGGCTCCTGTCTTCAGCTGAGGTGTTCGGGTCTCCCCCCACACAGAGGCAAGGAGACTCAGTTAAGGAAATTCTCGCCTCGTTGGCAGTGACTCTGTCTGTTCTGGCCCCGTCCACAAAGGAGTTCTGGTTCTTTGTCTTGGGCTGAGGTTTCCTTGGCTTGCACTCCGTGCGAGCTGAGGACCCGGGTGTAGCGCTGGCCTGTCTCCCCAGCACCCGGAGCTGCGTTCTGACCCAGTGCCTGTGCTGCCCCACCTGAGAGAGAGAGACCCTGAAGTAAGCAGGCTGTGTGGCCCCGACGGAGATGGCACTGTGGAGAGCACACTGTGCGTGGAAATTCTGACAGCTTGGAAAACTGTGACTGTATCTTCTTTTCTTTTCTTTAATGTTTATTTAATTTTGAGAAAGAGGAAAAGAGCAGGGCAGGGGTAGATAGAGGAAGAGAGAACCCCAAGCAGGCTCCACACTGTCAGCACAGAGCCTGACGCAGGACTGGAACCCACGAACTGTGAGATCGTGGTCTGAGCCGAAGTCAGACGCTCAACCAGCTCAACACCCAGGCGCCCTCTTGTTTTCTCTTCTTGCCACCAGACCTAGGACCTTCAGAGACGTTTGGCCTCCTTAAAGCTGCCAGCTGCAGTCAGGATTAACTTGTCTGGGGAGCCTGGGTGGCTCAGTTAAGCGTCTGACCCTTGATTTAGGCTAAGGTCACAATCTGACCATTCGTGAGTTTGAGCCCCATGTCAGGCTCTGTGCTGATGCTGTGGCGCCTGCTTGGGGTTCTCTCTGTCCCTCCCCGACTTGTGCTCACACCTCAGATCTCTCTCCTCCCCCGCTTCCTCTCAAATAAATAAGTAAATAAACTTTAAAAGAAAAGGAGTAAGTTGTCCGTCTCCCCTCGGGCCAGGGCTATGCATGACCCCGAAGGAGGAGGGGCCTGTTGCGTAGGCGGCAGGATTGTTGCCCAGCGTGTTGGAGAGCCCTGCTGGTGCTCAGTAGGCGTCCGTGGTTACCTGGAAATCCTTGTAAACCTCTGTGTTGCTCTGTAACTCATGTTTTGCAGCGGCACCTACCACTCGCGCGACGAGAGTACAGACAGTGGACTGAGCATGAGCAGCTACAGCGTCCCTCGGACCCCAGACGACTTCTTGAACAGTGTTGATGAGATGGACACAGGTGGGTGTTCTGTTCTCAGTTGTCGGTCAGTGAGATGGCAGCAGGTCTGTCCGGCTGTCATGAGCAAAGCCTGCTCAGAACAGAACCGGTTACGGGGCACCGGGGGGCTCAGTCGGTTAAGCATCTGACTTCGGCTCAGGCCTGCTCGGGATTCTCTCTCCTTCTCTCTCTTTCCCTCCCCAACTTGTGTCCTCTCTCTGTCTCACTGTGTCTCTTTCTCTTTCCTCTCTCTCAGAATAAGTAAATATCCTTTAAAAAAAGGAAACCAGTTAAAATCCTGAACCCTTCCCTTCAGATCTGCCTGCTTTGTTTCTCCATGGCATTTTGTCACTTGTCTCCCAGTTGTTAAATATCATGGACAACTTTTGCTCTATTTGATTAAAACTGATGATACGACTTATTTTAACACTTAAATAGTGAGTTAGCCCGGAAGGCAATTGAAGACCCTTTCTGATGACTTGGTCTCTTTCTTTTCTTGTCTTTTCCTCCCCTCCGCTCTGCTTACCTCCTCTCCCTTCCTTTAAAATAAATTTTTTTTTAACGTGCATTCAGTTTTGAGAGACAGCATGAGCAGGGGAGAGGCAGAGAGAGAGGGAGACACAAAATGTGAAACAGACTCCAGGCTCTGAGCTGTCAGCACAGAGCCCGACGCGAGTCTGGAACCCATGAACCGTGAGATCATGACCTGAGCTGAGGTCGGGATGCTTAACCGACTGAGCCCCCAGACACCCTAATGCCTCGTATCCTTAATCTTGGAGAGAGACTTCCAGCTGCAATCCGCTCGCCTATATCGTGTGGGGTTCAGCCCCTTCCCTGAAGGTTCTGCTCTGACTCAGGTGTGAGGGGCTCAGAAAACCAGGGGGCGAAGGTGGGGCTGTGTGGCTCTCCTACTTACTGTCAGAATAGCTGCGGGGGCCTTGCACGAGCCCAGGAGGGTAGTCCAGGAGCCTGGTGAGCACCGAGGGCCTTGGACGTGGCAGCGAGCGGAGGGCACGAGCTGCCCGGGACATGGGGCAGCCCTCCAGCGGCCGTCTCCCTCGGCGGCAGGTCGTCCATCCAGCTCACGGCGTCTGGAAACGCACGGCACCTCCCTCGTTGCTTCCCTCAGACGCGAGCCCCCGTTGTCCGTGCTCACGCTTCAGACGTGTCTGCTGCCCGTCATGCTTCCCCTGCTCCTCCCCCCACTTCGGCTCTTCTCCAAACCCCTGTAGCACTCGGTGCTGTATATTAGTTTCTCGGGAGCTCTAAGACAGGAGAGTGGGGTCATGTTCAAACAACGAGTTTCGTGGCCAGGTACATCGGGGACCCCTAGAAGGAAGGCAGGGACTTCTCGGAGGCTTGTTTTGCTGTTAGGAATGGGGATCTCCGGGGCCGGAAGAGAGTTTTCATCCAGCCCTCTTACACTAATGTTACCTCGGGTGTACTTAAAAGCGGATACGGATGCCTATACGGTGGGAGCATACGGATCACAGACAGAAGTCTCTGTCCACAGTGAAGATTACGAGTCCTCGGAGAGGGTCCTCAAGTGCCTTGCCAGCTCACTCAGGATTTTAAGTGCTGAAATAAGTCACGTTATCCGTTTCGTTCAAGTAGAGCTACGCTGTGTGTCCATGATGTTTTAAAACCGGGAACACAGCTCAGTTACAGACTGCCATAAAGTGTACGTAAATTCACTCCACACCCGGACTGTTACTTTTACATTGCGGTTGTGGAGCCTCTCTAGAAAGAGGCCGGTGGCCGTGCTTGTGTGTGATACACGTGTTCGGTCTCTCTTGCTGGAGATAAGTTTTCAAGAGATTTCAGTTTTTTCCGTGACCCCTTCAGTGCTCAGCACAGAGTAGCAAGCAGTCACACTGTGGCTTCAGCGTCTGAACACATGTTGAAGCAGAAGTAAACTTGGCATTGTGCTGTGTTCTGTGAGTTGCTGGGCCTAAAATAAACTCTGGGCATCGGGCTGGGGTGAGGCGAGTCAGGCGTGTCTGAAAGCACAGCTTGGACGTCAGCTCTTCAAACCTGCCTCTCTGCTCTCTGTCCCAACCAGGTGACACTATCAGCCCAAGCACCCTCCCCACGCAGCAGAACCGCTTCCCAGACTACCTGGAAGCCATTCCTGGGACAAACGTGGACCTTGGAACGCTGGAAGGGGACGGGATGAACATAGAGGGCGAGGAGCTCATGCCGAGTCTGCAGGAGGCCCTGAGCTCGGACATCCTCAACGACATGGAGTCCGTGCTGGCCGCCACCAAGCTCGATAAGGAAAGCTTTCTCACGTGGTTATAGAGCCCACGGGCAGACCCATTTCCAAATCTGTGAAGGATCTGAGGAGGTGTGCCCAGAATTTCCACGCGAGCCCGTCGCAGTCTTCTGGCTGACCCAGAACGATGAACAGACGTCCAGCAAGATTCGCTCACCCACTCTCTCGCTCTTCCTTGTCCGTCGCTGCTGTTAGCATGTTGCTGACCTCTGTCGTAGTTGGCTCTAAAGAATCAAAAAAACACGATTTTGTTTCTTTTGCTATTATAACTACTGTCCATTGTGGGGCTGGGGGAAGTGAGCCTGTTGGGACGATGGACGCCTTTTCTTTTGCCCAGTTAGACGTTCGCCCATCACCCCGACCGAGTGCTCAGACTTGGAACTCGAACGCTTCACGTCCCAGCATTTACTCTGTCAGGCAGTTGTTTCTTCAGCTGCGTTTGGCCGGTGGAAAAACACGGCCAGCTCGTCCGTAGGCCGGGAGTGTTGTGTCCGACGTCCCATGCTTCGCGCAGATATGATGAGCTAGCTGAGACCAGGGCTGAAGACTCGTGCTTTTAGCGTCCCCTCCTCGTGCTCTCGGTAGTCACATAGTGACCTTGATTTTACTTTAGGAGCTTATGAGGCATGAGAGAGTTTCCATAGAAATATATGAATTATTGCCACATATTCTAGTATAGGTTTGGGTGGGTTTATTGTGGGTTTGTTTCTTGTTTGTTTCTGTTTTGATTGGTTGGGTTGTGTTTTTGTTTTTGCTCCCCCACCCCCCAGCCTAGACACATTACGGTAGTAACGAATCTGTTTATAGTTGTAGCTCCCGGCAGCTGTTGTGCCTTTGGTAAAAACCTACATTTCCTGATTTTTTTTACCATCTTATTTAAATCTTGATTTTGTGCTCTCTCTATATATACCCACACACACACTTATACTCTTTATAATAGTGTGATAGCAGAATGTATCTTTTTTTTTTAAGGTTTCCCTACTTTTCCAATTTATTTTAAAATGGTAGTTTTGAACGTATGCATTTAGAATACACGACTAGTAGTTTTTATTTCAGAGGTCGTTTAAACCTGGTTGGGGGAGTCTGCAGATATTTGGGTAGTTAGTATTCTAGAAAGGACTGTTTTTAGGGAGAGTGTCCAGAGGAGTACCGTCTGCCCGCTGGCACACAGTTATTGTCTGATGAATTTGAAAGAAGCAAACAAGATAGGGCTTTATTTTCCCCTTGATGATCCCTGGGACTAATTTTAAGCCTTGATGGGAAATCACTAAGTAGGTTCATAATGTACGCGACAGAAGTGAGCTTTACATAGTGGTTTACCCTCCTTTAGCTCTGGAAATTTCCCTTTGCCCTAGTTTTGGAAGTAAATTCTAGTACCTTAGTTCTCATTTGTAACAAACACATTAAAGACTACATGGAAATATTGCCTACAAGATTGTTCTTACTTAATTAGAATTCTGTCGAGGTCATGAGTTAGCTGGTAAAGTGATCAGGTTAATAAATGTATATCGGTAGTTGAAGTTAGCAAAGAAATAGAGATAGTCTTGATTATACTTTTATTTTTACAGGAAGAGATATAACTAGAGTATGTGTCTACAGGAGTAATAATGGTTTCCAAAGAGTAATTTTTAAAGGAACAAAATGAGCATGAATCAACTCTTCAGTATAAGCTACGAAGGTAATAGTTGGTTGTGAATTATAGTGACACCAGCTAGCGCCTCTGTGATTAAGGGTCTTTCATTGTTTCTAGAATGAGCCCTTATTTTCAAGGGTTTATGACAGACATAAAAATCTTTTTTCCTGGCTAAAACTGCTATGGAAGATATGCTTGGGAAGATAGATTTTTTTTTTTAATTACAAAATGTAAGTATTTTGACCCTTCAGTTTAGAGGAGAGCAGAAGTCAGGAGTGAGAAGTTTTAGATTAAGCACTTCCAGTGCTCAAACATGCAGTCACTGTGCCGTATGTAATGATTCTTAGGTCGATCATCCGTCATTATTGACCAGAAGGGTTTTATTCAGAAAACCACCGAAAGGGTAAATCTTGACTTACCTGAGGGGGAGTGAGGGGAAGTGGCCACTGTGCAGATTCACTGATTTTTTTTTTTTTTTTTTTTTAAAGAGCAGTAATGAAATTGTACCTAGAACGCATCATTGAGTATATGGACGATCCTGCATGTTGTTGTTTCTCTTGTGCTGAAGATCAGAGCTACTCAGAAGGCGCTCGCAGTTGGCCAGTAAGCCGCAGGGGAAGGTCTCAAGGGAAGCGTCCACAGGGTAGCATTAGGCTGGGGCAGGGTGGGGGGTGGCAGGGGTCGCAAGGACTCAGTGGGACCTTGGTAGAGGATTTGATGAGTTTCTTTATCTTCTGTAAAGGCTTGTCTTGCATCTCACTGTCATTAAAGGTGGTTGTTCCTAAAGTTTCGATCACTTCAGTACAGCCACGAAACAGGCATAGGAGTTCTTCGTGTTGCCTCGACTTTACTTTCCCGGGTTACACCTCGGTGCGGGGGGGCGGGGGGGCGGGGCAGCTGATGGCCGCCGTGTTTGACCTTGTCCTGCCCTCTGTACTGACGACCTGACGGAGACCTAGGAGTCCTTCTTCTGATCACAGCCTCAATGTGGCCTTTCTTGTTGTGTCCTCATTCCTAACTTTAAAGTGTTTCAGTGCTTCCTGGTTGTATCGGGTAGCGTCGGGGTAAGATTTTAACTGGGTATTCTTGAATTGCTTTCACAATAAACCAATTTTATAATCTTTAAATTTATCAGCTTTTTACATTCTGTGTTCTTTTCAGTTAGGGCTTCTTAGATCTACTTACAGTTGATGGAACACATTGATTTGGGGTTTCAGATTTTCCAAAGCACTATTTGTGGTCATAACTATTTTCTAATATATAGTGTCTTTTTTAAAAAAGGAAAAAAACATTAAGGAAGTGAGTTTATATACAAATAATGTTTCAAGTATTTCATATTAAATAGGTGCATTCTATTGGGAGTTTGGCAGAAACGCTGAAAATTAATAGTAATTGATTGTAATTTATAACCCACACCAGTGTTGAAACTTAAAATGCAAAAGTGAGAAGCGGTGTCCGGTGACTGACAGGTGCAGTGTTTGCGCATCTGAGAAGTGAGTACTCAGATGAATTTTAGCTCCGACAAGCGTATTTTTTTAAGGATTGTGGGTATGCCTATTTTAACAGCTGTCTTCTGTATCATGAAAAGTATTCTCCACAATTTAAATGTTTTATATTAGAGAATTCTTTAATGCACACTTGTGAAATATATATATAGTACCCATAGTACATTTTTATTTTCTGTTTTAGATGTAAGAGCATGCTCAAATGTTAGGTACTACATAAATTGTTACATTTTTTTCCTTATGTAATACTTTTTTTTGTTTATGTGGTTCAAATATATTCTTTCTTTAAACTCCTCTTTGTTGTTTTTAACAATTACTATATTTAAGACTTTTTTGGCTTCTTACTGGTCTTCCAATAGAACATATCCTAAGGACAAAGAATTATAAGCTGATTCAGTGACCAGTAGACACGTTAAACTTAAGGCTGTTTTGGGATTTGGACCTTTTGAAGTGTGGATGTGATTCTTTGGGATTTCGTGTGTTTGTTTAATGTTTTTTAAAACGTTTTCCTTATTTTTGAAAGCGAGAGAGAGAGCGTGAGCAGGGGAGGGGCAGAGAGACACAGAATCCAAAGCAGGCTCCAGGCTCTGAGCTCTCAGCACAGAGCCTGACATGGTGTTCAAACCCATAAACTGGGAGATCATGACCTGAACCGAAGTTGGTTGTTTAACTGACTGAGCCCCCCAGGTTCCCCCGGATATAAATTCTTTGAACTTTATGTTGTATGCTCTTCACGTGGACTATCCCTGTTGATGGTGGTGTCTCCTGTGTTCTTAAATGACTCTACTACAGGTAACCACACAGAAGAAGCTGACAGGAGCTTTACACAGTCTCTCAGAAGAGCCTTTGGTTGTATTTCTACATGGTATTTTCTCATGGTCTCCAAAATTTAAAACTTACATTAGTGAAAATTATTATTTTTTTATAAATAAAAACATTCACAAACTTAGGTGGTAGGTCCTGAACTTCGAATAAGAAGTAGATCTGATCGTTTTTTGAAGATGATTTATTTCTATGCTTGTGTGTATAATATCTTTTAGTTAAACTGCCACGCATCAGTTTTGTGGAGGGAAATCTGAAAACTTCATCTTATGTATAATTTCTTTACAGTAGAGGGACACTAATTTTGTGGCGTTTGAACTTTAGCATCCCCTTATCTTGTCCAACGTGTGGTGGCTGTGCCCCTCAGCTCAGAACCGAACCTCGAGTCTGTAGCGTCGGGTCTCCCACCCCCAGCCCGGGGGGGCTGCTCTGAGAGCCCACGTACTTGCTGGACGGCTTGAAGCCCAGTGATGGGAGGCCGTCCGTCCTCACTCTGTATCCTGTGGATCTGAATTGTGCAACCTTTAAATAATTGGTTTAGTGAGTATGTGTCAGCAGAATACTTCGAGGAATGTATTAATTTGGATGTGGGAAGGATAGCCCCTAGGGAGAGCAAGGGTGTGTATTCGGTGTGTTTGGGGGAGGGTTAGGTGTTGTACTGAGAACCTGATGTGCGGTAATTTACTTTTTTTTTTTTTTAAATAGACCCAGAACTACAGTAAAATATTTCAGTAAATGAATTGCTCAGCCTGGGTGAACAGAAAACTAGTTTTTCCGGAGAAAGAAAGAACAGTAGCTAGTAAGCCTACGTGATGACTGCGGGAGTGGTCAGTAGCCCGTGAGCCCTGTTCAGTGCCCGCAGCTGCCATCTTGTCAGCTGAGGTGCTCCCGGAGGACCCATCACGTCTCCTTACCTTCTGAGAGAACAGCCATCCCAGCCTGGGAGCCACAGGTTGCGTTAGGTTTATATTCAGTCCTGAAGTCTGGCCTGCCGTGTAAATTGTGAAGTGGCCGCAGGTCGTCACGCTTCACTCTGGGCACGGGGTTGCTCTGTGTCACCAATCACAAGAAATTTTGTTAAGGTTTTTCTTTTTCAGTTAACTAGAAATGAAATTGAAATCGAATTCCATGACATCTCTTACTCAGTTTCTCCATATCACACATGGAATATTTTTGGCCATAGTATCTGGATACCAAAAAAAACTATGTAAAATTGATGACTTCCTGAGCTGATGTGATACTGTCACTGATAAAAACAGGTGCAGAATAGAGGCCTGGGCAAAACGATGGTATTGAGTAGAGATTCTTAATTTTATTTTTCTATTTTTATTTTTTTTTAATGTGTATTTTTAAGAGAGAGCACAAGTGGTGGAGAGAGAGAGAGGAAGACACAGAATCTGAAGCAGGCTCCAGGCTCAGAGCTGTCAGCACAGAGCCCAATACGGGTCTCAAAGTCAAGAACCATGAGATTATGACCTGAGCTAAAGTTGGACACTTAACTGACTGAGCTACACAGGCGCCCCAAGATTCTGAATTTTAAAATCTGCCGTATTTTACCAGAAACCAAACTTCTGGACTAGGAGACCTGACCTCCAAGTTACTAGGAACCTGTTAGCTTAAAAAACAACAACCAGAAAGAAGGGAAAAAGAAAATTGGTACCTGCATGCTGTTCAATGCAGTGTTTGGAGATACCTGAGCCAAAACCTACTTTGCAAAATCCCTAGGCAGCTAATAGGGTGCTTAGAATGGTTTTTCCACAAAGGGGGAAACTATTAAAAACTAGTTAGTCTACCTTTGTGAAATTGGTATTTGTTAGTACTTAAAGTGAACGAGTGACACAGGTCTTGATTCTTAGTACAAGGGCTTCTTTGAGACATGAAAGAGGAAATAGGATCTAAACCGGAGGGAACGCTTAGTTAGCAAGGTGTTGAAGCCTGCAGACTTCTTAGGGTAAGACCCGCCTTTACCCACATACTTCCCAGGCTTGTCCCCAAGTGGAGTTTAGGATGAAATCAGTTCCTATGAGCGTCACAGGGTCTATGAGTTAAACAGCCCCTTTTGGATTTAGGCTTCATTGTGAGTTATTAGAAACCACATCTGAGTACCTTTTAAGGTCATTTGTTCAGTTACAGAGCAAGTTCTTGAGTTACATGAACAGGATGCTCTAGTCGACTGAAATTTACTCAAGGCTGTAATTGACTGGCAGGATCTGAGGAAAGGGCATCTCAGGAACACCTGCTCAAGCTACTGAAGGCAGCTACTCGAAGCCAACATGGTGACAAGTGGCTGGAGATCGTTTCTCCCCACGTGAGCCTCGGAACAAGTTGTATTTAAGCACCTCTCCCTGGTGATGAGGGAAGCAGGTGTGCAGCCCCAGCTCGATGCGGGTGTCCTGGCTGTGGTTCGGCAGGGTCTAAATGAGAGTCAGAATATCACAACCTGCAGGACTCGGATCGCTAGGGTGACCGTGGATCAAGACCTAAGGTTTTATAAAGGGTACAGAGAATCAATCCAAGAGGAGCTTGAAGTCACACCAAAAGCTCCCACATTTGCTCCAGTGTTTTCTCTGGGCGCTGTTACAGTAACCATGGGATCGTGTGGAGGAGAGTGGGGCCTTGGGATTTGGTTGTCTTTCATCATCCAAACCAGGAACAACGGTGTAGCTCTTTCTGCGTTCTAGGCCAGAGACTTTCTGTGGGATTCTGCAGGAGGTGTGCAGAAGAACAGCACGAGCCTGGCTGGTGCGAGGCACGTGTGTGTGAACCAGCTCACAGCTGCCCAGTAAGGACGCATGGTTCACCTGGAATGGAGCGGCAAGCCCTGGCCAAATTTGGAATACTGCTGAGGAAAGTTCATACTAACTTGAACTAAAAATCAACTATTGACCAAATCTCTTAGTCTTCCAAAGTCATTAAAGCAAAAATCTGAAGGCATGAGCATTCACAGAAGTTTTCATTGTGTTCTGCTAACCATGGCAAATTTCAAAAGCAAATTAACCAACTTTATGCATTCCGTTTATGCCATCATTTACTGAGGGACCTGAAGGCTTATGCCCCGAAGAGTGAAATGAAAATAATCTACGCCGTCTTGAACGCAGGGCGTGAGGGCCACCCCTAACCCTTGAACGCAGCACGGTTTCACAGGAGCATAGTCTTGCTCAGGACACTTCCTACGGGGCATACTGGTCCCTTCAAATCGAAGTAGGCCTGTCCTGCCGTCAGCGTACACACTGAGCCCCTTCCCCTCCCCGTTTTTACGGAAGTATGCCATTTTCACTAACTATTTGAATTGTAACTTACAGGAACATTTCCACTTATTACCGTGGTTGCCATACCAAAGCCTTTAAGATGCAAGCGTTTTTCCTGTGCTTAACTGAGTGGCCTGAACCTGGATCCAGACCCCACGGTGTCATTCGACACGCACTACCCGTGGGGCAGGAAGCCGCTAACTGGGAGATGTGTGTGCGCGGGGCCGGTCGTACTCGCTGGAGCTCATGACCGTTGTTACTTCTTGGTTCTGGGCTTCCCTGCTCCGCTACAGATGCGGCTTGGTCTCCGTGCAGGCACAGTCCTAAAGAGACCACGTGACAGTGACCATGCTCCATCCCATCGCTCATTTAGTCTGTCCATTTCTCTAAAGCACTTCCCTCATGCGGCCTAGGACACTGAAGAGACGAGAAGGTTAAGTGCCGACGAGCACGGTCCACATGATGTGCTGTGAGAGCGGAGTCTACGGGGAGATGCCTCCCTCCCAGGGTGATGAGCTAAGACTCCACGCAGGGGGACTGAACCTGGCCATCGAGGGGCCATGACAGCTGCCTTGAGCGCTGGCGTGGGCAGAGGCATGGCATGGCAGAAAACTAGGGGCGTGTGGGGGTGGGGGGGTGGGGTGTTTCCATTTGGGCTGCAGATAATGCAGTATAGAACTTGAGGGATGTGTGCTGGGCACTATCAGAGGACAGTCGTAGGACGCTGGGCGGGCCCGGACCGGGTAACCGTGCTTGATGAGCACTCGCTCTGTGCCAGGTGCCTCCCACGTGCTGGCCCAGTGAGTCCCGGCAGCAGCCCAGTGGCGGAAGGTCTGCCCTGGTTTTACAGGTCAAACTGGCTGAGGGCTCGCTCATCCCAGGTCAGCTTCGGACTGGCTGCTCCGGGCCTGACCTCTGACCCGACCTCTGCTGCACACCGCTTCTGCCTCGGATCCCAGGTGAGCGGTGTGCATCCGAGGAGCAGCGGAGGCGTGGGATGGATACTGCTCCCGAAGGTTTTAAGGTGCAGGCTATCAAACTGAATCTAAGTCATGACTGAACTCACCTGAGGAGGAACAGGCTGGCACACAAGGACAGTTACAGGTTTGCGCACGCACCTCCACAGATGTAACCGTGGACGGGGTCCGCTCTCCCCGCCTGGGAAACGGGGGGCAGGAAAGGGAGGTGACCTCGAAGGTGGCCAGGCTGTCTGCCCT